AGAGACCAAAACTAAGCCATGGCCAGTCACATGAAGGGCTATCTGTGCTTCCTCTCCATCCTTCCTACCCCATTGTCAAAAAGCAGTGTAAACAGAGAAAGAAGGGTGTGGGAATGAGCCGCTCCCTCCAGCCTTAAAGGCATCAATCAAGGCTGTGCTGGGAAGAGGTGAAGATTGGTAGACTCTGACTCGACTATGAGATGAACTTTAACATTTGAACAGTTCCAAGTTTTAACAACTGGAATAAATGGCTTTAATGTCAGGAAGTGACTGAGAAATTAGGGAATCTGACTGAGATAGTGTGAGGACAGCCTGTCCCCGAGTGGGGAAGAAGCGGCTGGACTCAGCTGAGTTAGTAGCTGTCCTTGGAAAAAGACCTTTTCTTCTTCTAACTTAGGGGAAACATCTCTCCTCCCTGTCCTTTTCCACCCCAGGGAAGATCATTGCCTTCAGTTAAACTGGGAAATCTGTGGCTCTGAGATTTGGCTCTAAAATCTCTGGCTTCAATTCATCTGGCAAAGGTCACACCTCTACTAACAGTAGTTCTGAGACTGGAGCCTGATCCGTCCTCCTTCTGCCAGGGGAGAATGAAGCATGATACATGCCAGGCAGCCACATGGATAGTCCTCACTGGGAAGTAGAAGGCTGGGAAAACCTAAGTAAAGTGGCCTGCCTGATGCAGGATTTACAATGTGAGTTGATTGTTCTCAACCTTAGGCAGGGTGGAGAGGAGAAAAACCTTCTTCTGCTAATGTTATCGGTGGAGAGTGTCCAGATTTTTGGCATTTTGAATGAAGAATTGGACAAGATGTACAAACAAAGCAAGGAAAGAATGAAGCAGCAAAAGCAGAGATTTACTAAAAACAAAAGTACACTCCACAGGGTGGGAGTGAGCCGGAGCACAGGGGATCAAGAGACTGGTTACAGAATTTTCTGGGGTTTAAATATCCTCTAGAAGTCTCCCATTGGTTACTTGGTGTACACCCTATGTAAACAAAGTAGTGGCCCACTATTAGTCTGGTTGGTTGCAGGAGGAGACCAATCAGAGGCTGAAGTGTTACACCCTATGCAAACGTCTGATTGGTTGTGGGAAGTGACCAATAAGAGATTGAAGTGAAGTTACAAAGTTATACTCCTATGCAAATAGGAAGACTTGGCCTGCGACTGCCTGATTAATGGTTGCTGGAGGGGACCAATCAGAGATACTTTCAATTTTTCATCTACCATGAAGAAAAATGGTGAAGGAAAGTAGAGGGTTGCTAAGGGAGTAGCCTTTGGTCCTTTTGTTACTTGGGAGTGGAAAGTTGGTGTTTTCCTTTTGATTTAGTTCTAAGAAGTCAGCATGAATCAGCCTTAGGTTCCCTGCCTCCTGACCCTATTCTGTTGACTCACTAACACTTGGAGAGTGTGAAAAGAGGTTAGCTCCAGTCCTGGCCAGCATGGGAAGGAAAATCAGAGAGGCAGGTGGTGTGGCAGCCCTCACAGGGACCTGAGCCCTTCACCCCAAGCAGGTTTGGGAGCCCACGGATTAACAGGAGGAGAAGCCTGTGAGTGTGTGATTGAGAATCAAATGGTTCCAATGCTCTTGACAGGAATAGCCGTGGGAAGGGAGTGGAAGGATTCAAAGCTCAGCCCTTCCCCTTCCCCTTTTTCCTTTAAGCTCTGAGACAAGGAACACTCAGTCCTCAGCCCCACCACAGGTTTAGAGATGACTGTCCTGAGGGGAAAGCCATTTTGGGGCAAAGACGCCCTCAAGCCAGCCTTGGGGACTGTCAGTCAGCTCTGACCTGAATATGGGGACAATGACTTTGCCTGTGCCTGGATGAAGAGTTTTCACACAACCAGCATTGCCTCTCTGACTCTGGCCTCTCACACCCATACTCAAGAAAAAGCAGCTCCAAGCTGAAACATGTGGGCTCTAGAAAATGGGGATCTGTGAGAGATGTTCATATAGGGGAGTGTGACCTGCACAGTGACTTGGCGGTAGCTCTTGCTTCTTGAGCTCTGTGACCCTCCTGGCTCTCCTTTCTCCCCAGCCACTCCTCAGTGTTCTTCACTCCTTCTCCCTCAATCCCACCTTTCCTAAGAATTGGAAAAATCTTTAGAGATTTTTCTCCTAAGTAAATTGGATGTTTTCAGGACTCATTAGGAACCCTGTCTTCTCTCTATAGTCTGCATAGGGAAACGTATCCTTTCTCACTCTGTTAAGTACCTTCACATACTGACAACCCTTGTGTTCATATTCTCACCCCCAAACTCTAGTCTCATTTATCCACTTGCCTACTTCATATCTTCATTTGTATCTTATGGAAATCTCAAAGTCCATGTCCTTCACATTGAATTTATAGTTTTCCTTCAGCAAATCCTATTTCCTATGTCTCCAAAATATATATCAAATATACCCGCCATTTCTCCATCTCTTCTGCTCCTGACCTTGCGTGAGCTAACTGTATCTCTCCCACTCAACTTGCCCTGGTCATTTCTTAGCTGATATTGCCTCTTAACTTGACCCTCAACTCATTCTCTATAGAACAACCAATCATTTGATTAAAGCACAAATCAAATCATTTTATTCTCCCATGTAAACCCTTCGATGGCTACTCATTGTATTCAGAATGAAATCTACTGTTGTATGACACCCACGGCCCCCAATGACCTGACTCCTTCTACCTGTGTTAGTCTGCAGTGCCGCTCAGCCAGGTTCCCATTTCTTCTCTCCTGCCAGGCACCTGGGATGATTGCAGTTCTTTGTACCCTTGAAGTGAAGATCTAACCATGTGACTTGCTTTGGACAATGAAATATGAGCAAAAGTCATTTAGGAACCAGTGCACAACCAACATACTTCCTTCTCATGTTATACTGATTATGGAACTCAGTGTTTTTTTTTTTTTTTTTTGAGACAGAGTCTCACTCTGTCACCCAGGCTGGAGTGCAGTGGTGTGTTCTCAACTCACTCCAACCTCTGCCTCCCAGGTTCAAGCAATTATCATGTCTCAGCCTCCCAGATAGCTGGAATAACAGGCATATGTCAACACGCCCAGCTAATTTTTGTATTTTTGGTAGAGAGAGGGTTTCACCATGTTTCCAGGCTAGTCTCAAACTCCTGATCTCAAGCAATCCAGCCACGTTGGCCTCCCAAAGTGCTGGGTTTACCTGCATGAACCGCCATGCCAGCCTGGAACTCTTTTTTTGAGTATTGACAAGGTGGTGCCATGAGGTTGGGAAGTCTTAATAGTGGAGAATACACAGAGAAGAATGGCCCTGGAAGTTTGCCCAAATCCACAGTGAACATTGTAGGAGTGAAAAATGAGCTTCTGTGGTGATATTTGTGGGTTGTTTGTTACTGCAGCAAATCATAGCCTGTCCTGAATGACACACTGCCCTAGCACCTACTCTCTCCCTTGGTCACTGTGTCGTATCCCAGCAGCCTTCATCCAGCTTCTGAAACACATCAGGATATTGTGTCCGTCACCGTCATTACACATCCTGTTCCTGGCACACTCTTACTTCCACACCTTGTTCTGCTTTGATTCTTAAGTGAGAACACATTAAAGGAAAAATAAAACATCTAAGTCTGAAACAGGAACAGTCTATAAATTAAAGAGAGGGAGCAGAGTTTGGCTGTTGGGTGGATAAAACTAAGAGGATATGGCAGTGGTTCTCTAACTTACTCATTTGACAATCACGTATTGACCATTCGATTTGCCAAGCCTTATTCTAAGTGCTGGGGAAATAAGAAAAGTCAAACACTTTTCCTGACTTAAAAGAGCTCATAGATGGGTAAGGGACAGCCCCAAACTAACAGAGAAATGGAAGAAGGCACAGGGAGTCCATGGCGACAGTCATCATAAATGCTGCAGAAATAAAAGAGAAGAAGGACGTAGAAGAAGCCACTGAATTTGGAGAGAAGGAAGTGGCCAGTGATCTTCAGTCTTTGTGGGAGCAGAAGCAGCTTGCAGAGGGTAGATGTTGAGTAGGAGGTGAAAACAGGGATGTTTAAAAGTAATAAACTTTTAAAAATAACAATTGCTACCTCCCACCAAGAGTGCCAGGAACTTTTACATGCATTATTTCCAATCCTCTCAAAAGTTAAGTATTGGGCCGGACGCAGTGGCTCATGCCTGTAATTCTAGCACTTTGGGAGGCTGAGGCAGGTGGATCTCCTGAGCTCAGGAGTTTGAGACCAACCTGAGCAACATGTCTAAACCTTGTTTCTCCTAAAAATACAGAAGTTAGCTGGGTGTGGTGGTGTGCACCAGTGGTCCCAGCTACACAGGAAGCCGAGGTGATGAGGATTGCTTGAGCCTGGGAGGTAGAGGTTGCAGTGATGCGAGATTGCGCCACTACACTCCAACCTGGGTGAGAGAGCAAGACCCTGTCTCAAACAAAACAAAACAAAACAAAAACATTGTCTTCATTTTACAGATGATGAAACCGAAGCTGAGAGATTAACTTGGTCCAAATCATACTTGATCAGGAATGGCTGTGTTAAAATCTAAGTCTGCTGACTGCACAGTTCACGCACTCTTCATCACATTGTCGGCAGGATAGAGGTGGCCTGCACCTGCTGCCACATCTGCAGGAGCCTTTGTAACAAGGAATAAAGAAGGATTTTAAAAACACTATAGAAATAGGCTGGACGTGGTGGTGAATACCTGCAATCCCAGCACTTTGGGGGGCCAAGGTGGGCAGGTCACCTGAGGTCAGGAGTTCAAGACCAGACTAGCCAACATAGTGAAACCCTGTTTCTACTAAAAATACAAAAAATTAGCCAGCATGGTGGTGCATGCCTGTAATCCCAGCTACTTGGGAGGCTGAGGCAAGACAATAGCTTGAACCTTGGAGGCAGAGGTTGCAGTGCGCCAAGATTACACCACTGCACTCCAGCCTGGGCAACAGAGTGAAACTCTGTCTCAAAAAAAATGAAAACAAAAACAAACCTATAGAAAGATACATTACCTGTGGGACACTTCTTTAAAAACCAAAGGACAAAGGTTTATGAGAAATTTTCCTTTTTATTAGAATATTTTTAAAAAACTGAATTGTGTTGATTATTCACAAAAGGAATCACAAGGAACCCCCAAATTGGAGTGGATTTCTGGGAGGTCCAAGAAAGCACCTACATGTTTTTGACAGGTAATGACACTACTAGTTAAGAACTCTGGATGTAGATGGGCAAGACTGAATTGCCATGGGGAGAAAAGAAAGGTGGGGGTGAAACTTCACAGAGAAAGCATCTGATATGAGGGAAAGGCACCTTCCGTGTGTTTAAATAGCATTACTGAAGCTAAACATTAACCAGGAAAGACAAGCTTTTTTTCCTATCATCCAAGTAACACCTGCTTTGCTTGGTCTTAGGTTTAAAAATATGCATTTGATCCCTGGAAGGATCTGAGTGATCCAAGTTGGCTAAACAGGAGGCAGTCTATAGGGAAGACATATGTTTCAAGCAGGAGCATTTCTTTGCCTCTTTTTGCTCAGGATCCCATCATTATATATCTTTAATAACTGGCAGTTTTTTAATAAGTTAATTTGCAGAGAGAGAGAGAGAGAAAGGCAGGAAGGAGGGGAGAGAGGAAAAAAGAGAGGAAGGAAGAGGAATGAAAGGGAGGGAGGGAGAGAGGAAGGGAGGGAGGGAGAGACAGAGGGAAGGAGGGAGAGACAGAAGGAAAGAGATAAATCTGTGATGATGCTGAAATGTACATGTCTCAGTGAGCAGTGACAGATGATCAGTGCTTTCTAAAGACCCCTTAAACAGACAAAATGGTAGACCATTGATCTGACCTTCTTACCCAGGGTGACCATACTTTGGGAAGTTCAAATTGAAATGAGGTGATTACTGTCTATAAGTGTTGTGACTTCTAAGTGAGGTGGCCCCCAAACACGGCCACCAGAAAAAGTGTCTGAATTCTCAGAGCTTGTCTTCTCCAGAGTATGTGAGAAATCATCAGAAGACATTGAACACAAGAATGCCCATGTAATTGACCCATGGGCATTGCTAAGGAATTCCATTGGCTAGAGTCCCTGGTTACGTTTCAGATTTCTGCAGTTCCAGGGATGGAGCAGACGTCTTACTGGTCGTCCCCAAGGAATGCATATCCAGGACCTCATAGCAATGTCAGAATGGGGCTGCACTGACCAAACAGTCCTCTTCATCCTAAACTGTGAGCAATTTGGCCTGAGCAGTCTCTTCTTATTGAAAGAGTAAGACCATGTTCCCACTGTGAAGTTTATCTCCCACAATTCCTATAATTGGCTGAATCCAGTTCTTGCTCATAGCTGGATACCTAGTCATGGTTCTGCCTACTTGGTTGTTCCATGAGGCCATAGGTGGCCTCAAGGCCAAGACATCTGGCAGAATAGAGAGCTTCAGGCTGAGCCATATAAGCCCAGGTTCCGGGCAGCTTGGGAGATCCTGGGAGTTTTCATCTGGGGAAATGGATAGTAGGCTGGTTTGCCAGACCTGTGTTGGTCCTTTATGGAAAGCGGACATGGAGTGCTGAATTTTAAGCCAGATTCCACTGCCTTTGTTTGGGTATTGCCCACCTGGCATGGAAGCTGGGCATGCTCTGGGATTCCAGTTCCTTGTTGAGTCATCTGATTGGTTTCAAATAAGTGTGCATCTCCTTCAGGAGGGAGCCTTTGGCCAGCTCCCACAAGCTTGCCCCTATGATGTACTTGATGACTGGTATCCTGGGGGAAGGTTTGGACCAAACGATGCATCTCTAGGTGTGTGTGCCAGGAAGACTTGGGGGCCTGAAGACAGCCCTGGCCAGCCTTCTCCAGCCTCCCCTCTGTCTCAGAATCTGTCTCTTCCAGGGACAGTGAGCTCCTTCTCTCCTTGTTAATCCAAACAGCATTGACCATCGATTCTGCAGGAGCAGGCGTGTTACCTCCTGAAAAGAGAAAGCACAAGCAGGGTCATTACTGGAAGGGAAAGGGGCACTTAGGGGGGTCTCATTGCTTTCAAGCTGAAGGAGGGCCATCCCTAGAAGGTTCCTGGTACATTGCATGTGTGTACATGTGTACACACACGGAAACACACGAGGCCTCACTTGCATGCTCACACACATGCCCTTTCACACCTCATCCATATATATTTACACACACACTATTATTCATTCATTCAACACATATTTATTGAGCACTTAATATGTACCAGGCATTATCTATTTCAGGTCCTGGAAATACAGCAATGAACATTGAGACAAAACCCACACCTTCCTGGATGTGTCCTAGTTGAGTAGAAAGACCATAAGCAAATGCATATTTATAATAAAATTTCAGGTGGCAATCAATGCTATGAAAAATCTCAAGCATAATAGAGGCTCAAACACTGAAGTGAGGGAGTAAACTCTGGGAGGAGATAGGGAACTAGCACTAGGGGCTAAAAGAAAGGCAAGGAACAAGGGCACACGCAGACTCACACACATGTGGATTCACATATGCTCAATGCTTACCAGTGGAAAAGATTAACTTAACTTATGGGGTTTTGTGTCCTGGGATTCCTTTTTTTGTTTTTGAGATGGAGTCTCGCTCTGTTGCCTAGGCTGGAATGCAGTGGTGCAATCTCGGCTCACTGCAACCTCTGCCTCCTGGGTTCAAGTGATTTTCCTGCCTCAGCCTCCCAAGTAGCTGGGAATTAGAAGAAAATTAGACACCTGACTAATTTTTGTATTTTTAGTAGAGACGGGGTTTTACCATGTTGGCCAGGCTGGTCTTGAACTCCTGATCTCAAGTAATCCACGCACTTCAGCCTCCCAAAGTGTTGGGATTACAGGCGTGAGCCACCACACCTGGCTGTGTCCTGGGATTCTAATAGTGAGTTTACCACCCAAGGCAGAAGAGGGAGGAGCTGTGTATTGAAGCAGCTCCTTTTAGAGAACCAATCATGATCCTTTTCCTCGTCCACAGGCACCGCTCTGGGAGGATATCTGCAGCATTTACTGCTTCTCAGATCTGGCTTTAGGGTGGAGGAGGCAGGTCAATATCTCTTTTCTTTCTTGGGGACATTTTTTTAAAACCACCTAGTGAAGTAAGATAGTTCATTGTCAACTCTTGCTGGCAGTGAGGCGGTAGGAACGATGGAAAGTCATTTTCCTTATAGAAATCAGGTGTGTGACCAGCATGGAGCTCCTCAGAGAGGTCACTTAGGTTCACTTGCCTGTTCTGGTATCTGTTATCACGGGAGACCCTGGAAGTGACAATGTGCAGAGCAAGAATGGGGAGATGCTATTGGAAGAAAAAGTCAGAAGGAAGCCCCTGAGCTCCAATTCCAGGCATCCAAAAGAACAGAAGACCAGCAGCAGCCACCTCAGCCAACAGCTACCGTCCTGTCAACACCAACTCCAGTGTGAGGCTCTGAAGGGTTGTTCCTGCTTTGTAACTGCATTAGTTCCTTAGGATTATTTTCCAGCATGGAATGAAGGAAAGTTTCACAAATATCCAACATGTTATGTACTTATCTGAGAACAAAGAAGGAAGAAAGACATGATGGGAGAACCCAGGAACTGGCATCCTCTCCCATCATGAGTTTAGGAGGAAAGGACTGAAGGTGGACAGGGCTGATCAACTGTTAATCCCAGCCTGCGGTTCAGAGGAAAGGAGAGTTCGGCTGGGAGGTACCCTGGGACCCCATCCCAGTGCATCCCCTGCTGAGAATCACCCTGAGCCTTCCATGGCAGTACCCTCCACATCTTGGGATGTTTTGCCTGTTCTTCACAAGCAAAATAGAATTAGGATAATTGTCTGAAAAGTACAGGGAAATTTCATATCATGCTTTTTTTTTTTTTTTCCGGAAGGGAGGAAGGCAGGAAGGGAGGAAAGGAGGAAGGGAGGGAGGAAGGGAGGGAGGGAAAGAAGGGAAGGAAGGAAATCAAGCAATGAGAGAGACATTGCCGACCTGGATCTAGAGGTCTACAAGTTGATTTCTTTTTTTTCTTTTTTTGAGACAAGGAAAGAAAAAAAAGGAGTGAAGGAGAGGAAGAAAGAGGAAGAAAAAGAGGGAGAGAGAACGGAAATGTTGCTTTATTCTAAAAAAAGTGGGTATTAATGACCAATCAATGTTTCATTTAAACCTATGAGTAGGTGTGATGTGGTATTGACAAGAATGTATATTTTGTGTATTTAAAGTGGAGAGCTCTATAAATATTTATTAAGTTTACTTGTTCCGGATCTGAGTTCGAGTCCTTGATATCCTTATTAATTTTCTGTCTCATTGAGTCTAAGTCTCTATGTATCTGGGTGTTAGGATCATTAGCTCTTGCTGTTGCATTGATCCTTTTACCACTATATCTTTGTTCTTTAAAATCTATTTTATCAGATACAAAAATTGCAACTCCTGCTATTTATTTATTTATTTATTTTTGCTCTCCATTTGGTTGGTAAATCTTTCTCCATCCCTTTGTTTTGAGTCTTTTTGTATTCTTGCATGTGAAATGGGTCTGGATGTATCATGCCATTGGGTTTTGGCTGTATCTTTTGATTGGGGGATTTAGTCGATTTAAATTTAGGGTTACTGCCATTTGATGTTAACTGGCTATTTTATCCATTCGTTGATGTAAATTCTTCTTTATGTTGATGCTCTTTACTTTTTGGTATATTTTTAGAAAGGCTAATACTGGTTGTTTCTTTCTATGTGTAATGCTTCTTTCAGAAGCTCTTGTAAAGCAGGCCTGGTGGTAATAAAATCTCTGAGTACTTGCTTGTTCATAAAAGATTTTATTTTTCCTTCAGTTGTGAAGCTTAGTTTGGCTGGATATGAAATTCTGGGCTGAAGGTTCTGTTCTTTAAGGATGCTGAATATTGGCCCCCACTCTCTTCTGGCTTGTAGAGTTTCTGTTGAGAGATCTGCTGTAAGTCTGATAGGCTTGCCTCTGTGCATAACCTGACCTATCTCTCTGGCTGCCCTTAGTATTTTCTCCTTCGTTTCAACCCTGGTGAATCTAACGATTATGTGCCTTGGGGTTGCTCTTCTTGAGGAATATCTTTGTGGTGTTCTCTGTATTACCTGGGGTTGAATAGTGTCCTGCTTTGCTAGTTTAGGAAAATTTTCCTGAATAATATCCTGAAGAATATTTTCCAGCTTGGATTCATTCTCTCCGTCGCATTCAGGTACACCTATCAAATGTAAATTTGGTCTTTTCACATAGTCCCACATTTCTTGGAGACTTTGCTCATTCCTTTTTATCCTTTTTTCTCTAATCTTGTCTTCTTGTTTTATTTCATTAAGTTGGACTTCTACCTCTGATATCCTTTCTTCTGCTTGAACAATTCTAGTGTTTAAACCTGTGCATACTTCTCGGAGTTCCTGCATTGTATTCTTCAGTTCCATTAATTCACTTATATTCCTCTCTAAGTTGTCTATTCTCATTAGGATTTCATCAAACCTTTTTTCAAAGTTCTTAGTTTCTTTACATTGGGCTACAACATGTTATTTTAACTCACAGAAGTTTCTTATTATCCATCTTCTGAAGCCTGATTCTGTTAATGGGATGCACTGATTTTCCATCAAGTCTTTTTCCCTTGTTGATGAAGAACTGTGATCCTCTTTAGAGGGAGAGGCGTTCTGATTTTGAGTATTCTCAGCCTTTTTACGCTGGTTTCTTCCCATCATTGTAAATTTATCCACATGTCGTCTTTGTAATTACCAACTTTTTCAAATTAGGTCTCTGAGTGGACGTCCAAGTTGTTAATTCCCAGGGCCGAAATATGAGCAACCCACTGCGCAGGCCAAAACAGCGGCATTAAGACTGATTGGTGCTTTTCTGCCCAGGAATCTGCGGTCTGGCTTCCTTCTTGAGTCCGTAATAGGCGACTCTGCCTTCCTGGAGCTCCAAACCTTGGTCAGAAGGGGAACCAGTCCCGTTTACTCTGCACCGAGAGCTACCGCGCTGAGGTGCCTACGAAACCGCTGCGCCAGCCACAAGAGTCGCGCTGGCAACCTGTGGAGCTCCTCCACTAGGAATCTTCTGCTCCGTGAGCAACCAAAATTTGTCTGAAAGTGTGGCGTCCTCTCATTCTCTGAGCTTTCACTGGGAGCTGCAATCCCGAGATGTTAGTGATCGGCCATCTTGGATGGTTCTCACTCATGTTTTTTATCTATTTTGGTTTTGGTCAGTCGGGGACTGGGGATGAAGGAACTGTACTCAGTATCTATAATAGTTTCTTCATTCTCCACCTGGGATTCACCTTGCCAGAAGATACAAATTGGAGAAGGGGTATTTTGAACCCCTTGATTTCTCTTGATTTTCCTTGATTTCTTTCAGCCCCTTTCCTTGATTTCTCTCTTCAGTGGGGATGAAGGAAGTGGGTGAAGAGAAGAGGAGAGAGTGGCAGAGAGACTCAGGGAGGAAAGAAGAATGAAAATTCATCCCAACTGCCCGAGACCTCTGGTAGAGCCTTTCTCATCCAGCCAGAGTCAGGCAGACATGCATTCTGGACCTGAGCTCACCACTGACTCACTAGGAGACCCCAAGCCTCCATTGCCTCATCTATAAAAGGGAGATCTTACAAAGGGAGCTGCCTTACAAGGCTGGTGGCAAAGTCAAATGAAATGTCATATGAAACATCCAGCCTGGATATAAGGCCCTACCCTAATCCCTTTTCTACATAAGGTGAGTCACGCAGTGTCTGACAGTGACAAAAGCATATTCCTTTGGGACACCAACCACTTTGGGTAACTGGGGCTCTGCAGACTTCTGAAAGTAGCTCAAGGTCCCCTGGGGAACTTATGTTACATCAGGGAAGACACGCTGCTACTTGTAACTGCATTTCCAGAACCTCAGCCCATCGTATGATGCTAAGACAGGATGAAGAAAGCTAATTTCAGAGCCCTTCCTTTCATGGATCAGCTCCTAGCATTTCTGAGCTTCCAAATGTCACCCAATGTCTTGTGACATTGACTTCTAGCTTCAGTAGGAGCCCAATCTCAATGCTCACTCTGTCTTCCTGGGTCTCTCCGCAGCTCTGGGTGCTGAGGATCACTGTCCTCTAAAATTCCTCTACTAGCTTGGCTTCATTACATTAATTGCTCTTGACTTTCTTCTACCACTTAAAATATGTTCAATTGCAGTAAAATGCAGAAAGCATAAATATCCCGTCTTAACCATGTTTAAGTATACCGTTTAGTAGTGTTCAGTACATTCACTTTATTGGGGAACCAGTCTCCAGAACTCTTCAGCTTCCCCAACTGACCTTCTATAAGCATTAAACAATAACATCCCACTTCCCATGGCCCAGCCTCTGGCAACCACCATTCTACTTTCTTTCTGTCTCTATAAATATGACTACGTTACATACCTCATGTAAATGGGATTATACAGTATTTGCCTTTTGGGGACTGACTTATTTCACTCAGCACAGTGTCCTCAAGTTTTACCCATGTTGCAGCATATGGTAGAATTTCTTTCCTTTTTATGGCTGAATGATATCCCTCTTCTCAAATTTTAGCTGCTTTCTCCATCTTCCCTGGCTTGATTTCTTCCTTTTGTTCTTTCAATATTTGAGTATTCCAGAACTCTAATTTTCATCCCAGTTTCTTATCAATTTACACATTGACTTGCCATAATTTTATCCATGCCCATGGCTTCAGTTACCATCAATATGTTAATGACCCCCAAATCTATATCTCCAGCCCAAATGAGATCCAGGCTGGATGGATGGTCTACAGGCAACTATCTCCAATGCAGTATATTCAAAAACAAGTTTATCTCTCTCTCCTAAAACCCTTTTTCTCCTGTGTTCTCAATGAAAGATATCACCATCTACCCTGTTGCCAAAGTGTAGGGGACAATTAATTGCTCTTTTGCCTCCTTAGCATCATTTCCACCTTATTTTTGTCATCTCACCCTGATTTCTTCCTGAAGAACTCCCTACTCCTTCACTTGCAGTGCTAGAGCTTCAAGTGGCCTTCCTCCTCAGATGCATGTGATACATGTGATCTTGTCATCAGCCAGTCAGTACATAAAGCCTTGATGAGCTTCATACATATTAATTCATTTGGTTCCTACAATAACCCTATGATTTCGGTACTACAGTTATTCCCAATTGACAGGTGAGGAAACTGAGTCCCAGAAAATTTATGTAACTTTAAGCTGCACATTAAGTAAATGGCAGAGCTGGGACTCAAACTTAGGCTGTGCTCCAAGACCCAGTACATGACCACTCGGTTAGACAGTGTACTGCCTCTCACAGTTAGATAAAAAATGTGGAACTTGGCTGAGCATGGTGGCTTATGCCTGTAGTCCCAGCACTTTGGAAGGCCAAGAAGGGTGGATCACGTGAGGTCAAGTGTTCAAGACCAGCCTGGCCAACATGAGGAAAGCTCATCTCTACTAAAATAATACAAAAATTAGCCAGGCATGGTAGCAGGCACCTGTAATCCAGCTACTAGGGAGGCTGAGGCAGGGAGAATTGCTTGAACCTGGGAGGTAGAGGTTGCAGTGAGCTGAGATTGCACCACTGCATTTCAGCCTGGGCAATAGAAGGATAATTCATCTCAAAAAAAAAAAAAAAAGTGGAACTACAAACTGCTGAAAATGCCCCAAAAGACCCTGACCTAGCTGGGAGGTCAGAAGTCTTCTCAGAGAAAGCCACACCTGGGCACTCCTTGCATGAACCCTAATTTAGCACCTGGTAATGATAGGAAAGGGCATTGAGTTACCAGGAGCAGGAGAAAGGACCAGCACAGGGGATAGTGAATTCTCTGGGGACATGTTGAATTTGAGATGTCTTTGGATCATGCCCATTAAGTAATTAGATTTGTGAGTTTGAATTGCAGGTATATTAATCATGGTGCTTTCATTTGATAGGGATTTAAATTAATAAATGTTTGTTGAATAACTGGATGAATAAATTCCCTCAAGGGTGGGATAGAGGTTTAGGAACCTTTCCGTTCATGCCCTGCAGCGATGGTGACTGTTTGGCTGTGCCAGCTCACTCCTTCCAGGCATCAGTAGGGTCCCATTGGTTGGCAACAGTCCAGGTAGTGAGAGATGGGCTCCTTCAGCTCAGAGGTGCCACTTTTGTCCCCAAAAGGCAGCATACTTCCTGCCCTAGACAGAGAGGTCCCTCTGGCCCCTGATTCCTGCCTAGTCTGGCCTGGCAAAGGGCAGCCCAAAGAGTCCACCAAACTCTACAAATAACCACAGAATCCCACAGAGCTCAGCTTTGATCTTTTAGGGTGTCTTCCCTTCTCCCTCAACCTGTTCCTCTGTTAGAGAATGAAGGGCTGGGATTTGACAGCCCCTTGCTTTCTGAGCCCTGTGCTTCTAATTCCCTCCTGGAATGAAACCTGAATTCCTAAAGGGAGGCGGTTTCTCCCCATGAGTGGGGTAGAGGGTTTCTGTGTCTGATCATACCTCCCTGCCTGCTGTTTGAGGCTGGATGAGCCTGGGATGCCTCATGGGTCTCTGAACCCTTGTCTTCCTCTGGCCCAGACAGTTCCCAGTCTGTTGGGAATGTTATGCCTTCTACTTCCAGAGTGAATTTCTCTGGTTTATAGGAGTGCCTTACTTAGACCCAGCCAGGAAGCAGAGCTCCTATCACCATACCTGGGCTAGCAGTGGGGCTAAGCCTGGCTCACCAGGCTGACCAGTCTAGCAAGATCAGAACATCAGAGCAGAGGCCAGGAACAGCACTGGCAGCCAGGTGCTTGGCCGAGGCCCCTGGCTCCCTTGGAAGGTGGGACAGCTGAGCAGAGCTGCCCTGAGCCTGCCTCCCCTCCTCTTCCCCACTGGGAGGGAGGGCTGGCAAACCCTGGCTCTGCCTCCCTGCAGCTCTGCCACTCAGCCCTCCCATGGTCAGTCCCTCTTTCCCCAGCACCTGTCCAGCCCTACCTTTTGGAAGCACCAGAAGGTGGACCTGGGTCCTCTGCTGCCTCTTTAAGCCTTCATACTGGGATCGCAGGAGCTGGATGCTGAGTGGGGGCCCTTTCCCAGGGGCCTGAGTCCTGGAGCCCTCAGCCATGAAGTGAGACCCACACTGCCAGAAGTGGGGCAGGGCTGGGCATGGGCAGGGTAACCCCTTCATCCGGATCCGGGAGAAAAGCAAACACAGCTGGGTGGGGCAGGGCCCAGGGAGGTGAGAGAGAGGGAGGGGGTGGTGAGGGAGAAGGGGGAGTGATGGGCAAAAGGAGGGTGGAGAGGAGAGTGGAACTGAGGAAGGAGGTAGAAAAATAAGGGGGAAGAAGGATGAAGGGGAGGAGGAGGTAGGGAGAGGGAGAAATAGAGCGAGGAGAAAGGTGGGAGACAGGGGAAGCAAGAGGAGAAAGAAAGGTCAGAGGAAAGAAGGGGGCAGCAAAGGAGGAAAGGATAAAGGAAGGAGGTGATAGTGGCAAGGGGGGATGAATGGGGCGAGAGAAGGAAGACAGGGAGGAAGATGGAGACAGCCAGGAGGAGGCAGGGAAAGGAGCGATGGGGAGTGGGAGACTGAGGAGTAAGAGGAGGACTGGGGTAGTGAAGAGAAAGGCAAACCCAGCTGCTCAGAGCCCTCAGGGAGCTCAAGAAGGTGTCTTATTCCAGGTCCTTCTATTGTTTGATCCTCAAGAATCCAATTCCCAGTGCCATGGTGAAGTCTCCCATTTCCTGGCAGAGCTGGGAGTGGGACTGGGGAAGGAGTCACCCACTCAGCTCACACATCTTGGACTGGAACGTGGCCACTTTTCAGCAAACCTGCTGGTTGGGTTTGCACTAGTTGAAAGAACACTGTTGGCAGCTTCACAGGGCCAGCGCTTTGGATGTGTGCCCCACAGCTATGTCCTAAAGAAACCCAGTAGCAACGATCTCCCCAAGATCTCCACTCAGACCCCAACACACACCCCAGGTGAAAACCTAGCCCCAAAGCCAGTCATGGGACAGAGCCCAGGAAGTCTTTGACCAGCCGCATCACTTGGACATTTGGTGTAATCTCTGCTGTCTCAGCGTTTTCCTGCCAAGTGGTAAGTTAGGCGTCTCCTCACCCTCTGCTTGCGAGCCCCACCATTTCCACTTCGCTTTTGAATCCCAAAGCTCTCTTGCACCAGCTTTGACCTAGCCTTGCTGCATTTGGTCAACTAAGTCCCTTTCTATCTTCTCCTATCACTGCGCTTACTGATCACCCAATTACCCAATACGTCTAAAGAGGCAATGGAGGCAGAGTAGAGCCTCAACCTAGGAGACATTTGGACATTCACCAGACAAGATCTAGTCATTTGATGTGGGGGACTGGTGGAAGATGGAGAGCAAATCTTCACTGGGTCGTATGTGTTAGTTTGCTAGGGCTGCCATAACAAAGTCCCACAAACTGGATGTCTTCAGCAACACACATTATTGTCTCACAGTTCTGGAGGTTAGAAGTCCAAGGTCAAGGTGTGAGCAGGGTTGCTTTCTTCTTGGGGCTGTGTGAGAGTATCTGTTCCATAACCCTCACCTTGCTTCTGATGGTTTGCTAACAATCGTTGGTATTCCTTGGCTTGCAAAAACACTGCCTAATCTCTGCCTTTATCTTCACATGGTGTTCTTCCTGTGTGTGTGTCCCTGTGTCCAAATTTCCCTTTCTTATAAGGACAGCAATCACATTGGATTAGAGCTCAGCCTAATGACCTCAACATAATTTAACTAATTACATCTGCAATTACCCTATTTTCAATCAAGGTCACATTCTGAGGTACTGAACTTAGGGCTTCAACATATAAATTTGGGGAAGCTGGGTGGAGCTTCTACAAGGCTACTGGGGTAGTTTCTACAAGACTACTGAGGTAATTTAAAAGAAAAGTCATCAGAATAGATCAGTGGTGTTTTCAATGTGTAGCCAGATTGATAACCAACTTCTGCCTAAATTGCTCTGTAAAAATACTGAGAGAGATAGAGATAGCCAAAACTTCCTTACACCTTTTTAGTAGTGTGTCTATCATGAAGGCAAGAGCAACACATCCATGCTGGCCCAGCTGCACCTGCCATGAAATCATGGCAGTAGATATCATGGCAGTAGGGCAGGCACAGTGGCTCACAACTGTAATCCCTGCACTTTGGGAGGCTGAGGTAAGTGTATTGATTGAGCCCTGGAGTTCAGGACCAGCCTGGGCAACATGGTGAAACCCCATCTCTACAAAAAATTAGCCAGGCATGGTGGCACATGTCTGTAGTCCCATTTACTCAGGTGGCTGAGGGGAGATGATCGCTTGAGCCCAGAAGCTCAAGGCTGCCCTGAGCCATGATCATACCACTGCACTCCAGCCTGGCTGATTTTTTGTAGAGACAGGGTGAGCTCCTGTCTTGACAAGAAAGGAAAAGGAAAGAAAAGCAAAGAAAAGAGAAAAGAAATCATGGCAGTAGAAATTGATTTGGTATTTACTTCTATTCTATTTTGGTATTTACTTCTCAGCCTTCTTTTAGTATTAACAGCTTTTGTCTTTTTCTGTGTGTGCCTATTTGTGGATATTTTGATGAGGAGTAAATTGAGGCTATGTACTGCTGATTGAATGCCTTTTAAGAGCTTAAAGTCCGTATTTTAGTTCATATAGTTCCTCTTTCTTGGAAAACTCAAATCTTTATTCCCTTTGAAATTTATTTTAGTGTTTTGTTAGGTATAAGGCAAATCTAGTTTTTTTTTTCCTTCAAATAATTGCCCAGTTGTTTCAATAGCCCTCACTGAATAAACTTTCCTTTCTCGATGACTGTGATAACAACAATAGTTTAAGAAAAAATTGGCAACTCTATCTCATCCCAGGGAGTCTTCAGAAATAAATGGAAAAAGTGGATCAAGCCTGGGGTTTGTTCTGGGTGGCTGCCACTGAACGGGTGACTTTTACTAGCCAGGTAGATCTTTTAGAGGAACTGGAAAAAAGCTACAAAGTTGTTCAGGGCTTGAGATGCTGGAGTAGGAAGAAGATGTCCTGTTAGTCAAGGGAATATTTTGTTTTTCTATATGTATGTAAACTCTATGGAGCCTGAAATGTCCCATTCATGGTTGAGAGATAAGACCGTGCTTAATGTAGCAGGTTGGTTCATGACAGGAACAAGCATCCATACAGCCCTCCCTGGAGCTTCTAGTAAAATAACTTAGCCCGGATGATCCAGGTGCACTCCTGTGCAAGGGATCCAGCTATCCTGTGAGACTTGAGTGGCAACAGCTATCACTCACCACTGGGCACTACTCCAGAGAGAACGACTCAGACTGGAGCCCTGTCCATGCAAAACCAGTTATGGGTGGGTAGAGATTCAGAGACTTGAAGAAGGAATCCCTTAGAAAGCCAGTTTGAGAGCAGTAGGCTGGGACAGCCCAGTATACAGTGGGGCCGGGGCAGGAGGGGTGGATCCTGTTCTAGTGAAGAACTCCAGTTTGGGTTTCTTTCTACTGGAGATTCCAGGAAAATGTGACTTATCCTGTTCTTTCACTTTTCCTCTCCCCTATAACAAGTTCATTCTGAGATGATCCCCGAAGGCCAGTGATCTAGCCTTACAGAAACCAAGAGGGCAAGACTGCCAGGGATGGGAGGCCTCCCTCTGCTCTCTTCTCTGGTTCCACTGAGGAGGGCACCTTGTCCTATGGAATGGACTGTGATTTGCAGGTGTATGAATGACAGCATCTACAGGAGAGCCAAGTATGTTGAGGAAGGACTCAGGATGTCAAGAAGTGCTTCAGGGCAGACAGTCTCAAACATTCAAAGCTCTCAGCCTTAAGAGTAAGGGAGATTCCTCTCTGAAAAAAGAGAGGCTAGGCTAGACATATGAAAGCAATAGTTACAACCATTGAGCTAAAACTGCAATGGATCAGATAGGTGCTAATCACTCTATGTAGGTAATCAAATTTTTATTTATTTATTTTTTAGAAATGAAGTCTCGCTCTGTCACCAGGCTAGAATACAGTGGCATGATCTCGGCTCACTACAACCTCCACCTCCAAGGTTCCAGCAATTCTCCTGCCTCAGCCTCCCGAGTAGCTGGGACCACAGGCATGCACCGCCACACCCAGCTAATTTTTTTGTATTTTAATAGAGACAGGTTTTCACCATGTTGCCGAGGCTGATCTCAAACTCCTGAGCTCAGGCAATCCACCTGCCTCAGCCTCCCAAAGTGCTAGAATTACAGGCATGAGCCACTATGGTTGGCCCAATTTGTGTGAATTTTTATTAAAGTTTTATTACAATTTTTATGGTAATATTTATGTAAATGAAATTTGCCATTTTAACAGTTTTTCAGTGTACAGTTGCAGCGGCTTCGCATTCATTCACAGTGCTCTGCAACAATTGCCTCTATTTCCAGAGTGTTTCCATCATCCCAACAGAAATTCTGTGCCCATTAAATAATAACTCCCTACTCCCCACTTCCCTACATCCCTGGCAACCTCTCCTATACTTCCTCTCTCTATGACTTTGGCACCCAATGTAAATGGAATCATGCAATATTTGTGATATATGTGACTGACTTATTTCACTTAGCATATGGTCAAGGTCCATTCATGTTGTAAACATTCATCAGAACTTCGTTCTTTTTTATGGCTAAATAATATTCCATTGTATGGATAGACCACAGCTTGTTTACCCATTCATCTGTTCATGGACATTTGGGTTGTTTCTACCTTTTGGCTATTTGGAATAGTGCTGCTGTGAACATTGGTATACGAGTGTGTGTTTTGTGTTCCTTCTGTGAATCCTTTTGGAATAGCTGGATTACATAGTAATTCTATGTTGATTTTTTTGAGGAACCTGGACAAAATTAAATTTCTCATGAGAACACTATGAGAGAAGCAACATTATTATCCTTCTCCTTCACCTTTTACACTGAATCCAGCTCTAGGCCTGGGAGACACCAGTTCTAAAAGATAACTGAAATCTGGCTGGGCATGTTGGCTCACACCTGTAATCCCACCACTTTGGGAGGCCAAGGTGGGCAGATCACCTGAGATCAGGAGTTCAAGAACAGTCTGGCCAACATGGTGAAACTCTGTGTCTACTAAAAATACAATTTAGCAGGGCATGGTGGCAGGCGCCTGTAATCCCAGCTACTGGGAGGCTGAGGCTACAGAACACTTGAACTGGGAGGCAGAAGTTGCAAAAAAAAAAAAAAAAAGATACTTGAAATCCATGTATTTCTCTTACTTCCACTGGCATCCCCTAGCCTATGCTGTCCTCATTTCTTTTTCCAAGACCACTGCAACAGCCTCTTACCTGTCCCCTTCCTCCCACTTCCACACCTGTCCTCTCATGCATTGACCTTACAGAAGTCAGTGTTCTCCAAAAGACACAAAGCAAATCAGACCTCGTGGCTTGGCTTCGCTCCCTGTTAAATCCTTCAGTGGCTTCCCAATACACTCAAACTTGCATTCACATCCTTCTCACGGCCCAAAAGATTGCGCCTGCCTTGGGTCTGTCTCACTTTTCCAGTCTCTGTGTCAACTTTCCCCTTGCTCTCTACTTTCTAGACAAGATTTCCTTTAAGTGGGTTACGGATATGCCTATGACTGAGACCCACAACTCCTGGGCCAGGTGTCTCCAGCCACACAGAGCTTCTGCATCTACTCCAGTGATCTATTCAAATAGTGTCAGTTTCCTGTAATCCCAGCACTTTGGGAGGCTGAGGTGGCAAATCACAAGGCCAGGAGTTTGAGACTAGCCAATATGG